AGCCAGACATACAACCGTTGCATATGATTCCAATATACTAGCCTTTCTGCGTCGATGTTTGTCATGCTTTTATCTGTATCTTTGGTATTTATTTTCACCGCGAATATTTGCACCGAGCCACTTCGTCCACGCCCTACGTCTGATTATCCTGGAACCACATAAGTATCGACTGCAGCTGACGAATGTCAGTGCAATATTATTGCCTATCGATCTGTGGCAAACTTTTACATCAACAGCATTGTTATGCGTTCCCCGATGGCAGTTACTCTGTTGACCTCAGCCATCGTTTGCTATGCAAGTTGATTTTCCTCGGCATAAGCCCACATTCCACCAAATAGCTTGCAATCCAAGTTGCATCGCTAGATGTCACTAGAGATTGAGGCAAAACAATGGGACCCTGATTAGCATCCACCCAACTATGTGATGAAGAGAACGCTTACAGATTCCTCTCCAGCATTCCCGATGAGCTAAAATAGCAATCGTATTTCTATGATTCTCATTAGTTCCCTGAAGGCGGCACACATGATGATTCTTCCACCGAGCAATCCGCTACATTGAACCGTTATGGAAACCAGAGTTAGGGTTGCTCTGGGACAACAATCGAGCGCGCTGTCTGGACTTGTTTAAGATATTCCATTCGACTTTGAGACACTAGACAAACAATCCATCTCCAGGTTCGACTATTTGAACTTGAAGTTTGTCATTCTAAATAGCAATTGGTTTTCACTGCCATCACTTCCTTATCCTGCCGTAACTAACCATAAGTGTTCACTTTGCACCTTGACCCCTCGATGCCTTTCCCTATTAACCTGCTCTGTTGAACGGGTTAAGGCAAGTTGGCCCGACAGTCTCACTCCATATTTTTCAAAAATTGTGGTCTTACCGTTTTCTTAGCCTATGCACTGTATTCCGCGTTATTCTGTTCACCTTCCGGGTATCTTTGCGGTTATAAAAGTTTGTCTTGGCATGAGCCACGGAACGTTGTATCCTACCACCCTTGTATTACTGTACTTGCTTCCAAATTGTTATCATCATACGGAAGAGTTCACACTACAGTAGACGGACTGACTCCATGTTATGCCGACCCAATTGAAACGATTTTGTTGATTGAAACGAACGGACATGGTTTTGTCGGACTGAATCTCACACACCCGAGGCAAACGCTAGCATCCGCACTACGCCCGAACCCAAGAGAAAGAAGCGGAGTCAGATCTTCAGCAAGCGTACTGTCACGACCCGGCAAAAGTGAATACAAGGTCGCACAGCTCCGATAGTCTACCAGATCCAGCGATATATGTAACTTTTCACATGAACTTTTCTAATCGGAACGTGTGGAGAATGCGAGTTCACATGACTGTAAGGGGTTTCTTCAAGCGGAGACGTGGCTTCTGGAGTTCACGCGGGTGGACATGGCTCGTGTGTACTCGGCTTAGGCAATTCCGTTGGAACTTGCGTTCTCATAGCGCTCTATCACCCATGTAGGGTACTCAGGTTTTCCATGTTTGCTCTGAGAAAATTGTCGGTGTGGGCCTACACACTGCTTGCATTGTTCATTTTCCATCGACTCAGTTTATTTTTCGCATGTCCGTGACGTTATCTGTGGTAGCCGGCCCCAGTGGCGCTTGTGTTGTGATTTCATTTGTCCATCCCCCCCTCCTGTTTCGCATCCCCCTCCAATCTCGATCTCACTTGTTAGGCATAATACGACTCTCTTTTACGGCAGCCAGCTATTAGCTCTCCGGAACGATGTCCATCCGTTACTGGGGACACAGCGGGCGTGCTACTGTTTGTTTTCCTTTTCTTGTCTTTTGTATTGCGGCACATTAGCTGAGGTGTTTTCCACCTCCAGATAACGTGTAATGATGATGATGGTGATCTATTGGGAAGTGTATTGTACCATCCATCCTACAACGTACAAGAATCTCCTTTAGTTCACCATGCCGGGGTTGGTGTTTCACTACTGTCTATTGATTCCGTTTTTCAGTTTGCCAATAAAAGTGCTCATAATCGACACTTTAATACACTCATGAGTAAAAATTTGGAATTTCTTACACAATAGCTTCCACACCTGTTAGTCCTCCACATGTCCGGAAAAGCACTAGATCGCATTTTCGGCCTGTTTGGCATCCTCAGTAGTACGCATCCTTTGGCTCTATCATGATTCCGAACAGCTAGCGACTTGCACCGCCGCCAGCCATAGGGGGGGGGGGACTAAACTGCACCCGCTAACCGAGTGGAACGCTTGAGCATGCAGACGATGTGGCTCTCTTGGGTTCTCTTACCGAAACTTTTACTTCTGCGCATAAATACATTTATTTGGTTCACTATATTCTTCGATATGTAACAAATTTTTACAACAACAGCACTGTTGATATGTACTTACACAAATAAATAAGTTGTTCTCTGCGTACACTATATACGCCTATAAGGAAATCATCAGTTAGTTACAGCAATTTTTGTGGGCATATAGCATCGCGGTGTGCGTTTACCAGCTAGTTAGACAATATACTGATAAATAATAGTGTGTGATTGCCCAGATTGAATAGGCTCGGTGAAGCCTACTTAGCTCATTCTATCCTGGTTGGAGTAGTTGGAAAAATCGGAGGATCAGGATTGTATCATCAGTATTGTATTTCAAAAACAGAACGGAATTGCCCGCAGTCAACTACTTGGCTTCGTAGCAACAGATGCATTGATTGGACTAGTGTCTCGACCACAATGAAATTTGCTGGGAAACGGTTTCGTTGTCTGATTGTTCAACTAAATCGTCGCACACACACACGGAGAAACAATGTTCAACTCGTGGCCACGTAACACTAAGATGATGTACTGACTGTTACACGGAACGCACTGCAGAATGAAAGTTCTGTCACAAACAGGGGTTGATAATCTTCCATATGTGGCAGGATAGCGGCCATTCATATCTAAGTCCAAGTTCTATCTCTAGGGAATGTAAAGTACAAGTATCATCGGAGTAACTCAAGATAAATAGTATGTGAATGTGTTCTTGTGGAAATGGAAGAGCGTAGTCCAGTCGTTCAGGCCACAAAGCAGAGTAAAAATTTCTGTCCATCATAGCAGAATGTCAGTCCTCCAAGTACGGTAAGTCTTCTTTATCAAAGTGAAAGATTCACCATGTACTAGTGAAAACCACAAATGACGGTAGGTATTACTTACCGTCTTGGGCCGATACACAGTCGGTTTTTTGTTACATTAAACAACCACGGGATATGTTTGGCCGCATCAGGCTCCGATGGCTCGGCCACGTGTTACGCATGCCAGCCCACCGACTCCCGCGACGTGTGTTGTTTGTGCGCCGGGGGTGTGGATGGAAGAAGAAGAGGGGTGGCCAAGCGATGAGTTGCTCGAGAGGAATGAAGGCCCTCACTTCTGAGCTGGCCTCAGTTGGAGCGTCTCGGCTCCCTGGTTGGGGTCCGAAAGACGATGAACACGTTTGGTTGGACACACTTGCTGATATGGCTAGGAGCCGACCTCAGTGGCGTTCGTGCTGTGAGTTTCTTTGTCCCACCCCATCCCTCTTAGCCTCCCCCTCCAACCACGATCTCATTACTTAGCCTTATATAATTTTGCATAGCAATTTTTTTGGTGCACAGCAGCCGGCTGGTAGCTTACCGGAACGATACCCATCCGTTACTGGTAGCTCAGCCAGCTTGCACCAGTTGCATTTTTTTCTCCTTTTTTCTATGTATTGCGGCACAGTAGCTGAGGTGTTCCCCACCTCTAGCTAACGTGTATGATGATGATGATGTTTGGCCGATTCACTTATGCTAGTAGTTCTGTTGCTTTAGCTACCCAAATCACCAACAACAAGGTGGCCACTGCGCATATCGGTTAAGCCGGTGTGATTTGTCAGAGCTTCGATCGTTTTTGTTGTTGTTATTCACTTATTCGCCTACTGGCCAAAGGTATCCTTCTGCATCCAAGACGTAGCTGTGCTTCATGTTGAAGCCATTGGGACATTGGTCGTCCCTAATCACCGCTGTCTAAGAAGCATCGCTTATACCTAGTGAAACCGCCGATATTTACCGATCGGTGCTTTGCAACATCCTTTTTGACACTTCACTTAATCTTCTGCTGTACTTAAACTATTGGCACTGACTGGATCCTCTGTTTACGCACATTTGCTCGATGCGGAGTGGAAGATGTTGCTGCGTCCGGTTTAACGAAGTCTGTGACGGTAAAAGCAGATGCATTTAGACTGCTACATATCGCCCTTCTTAGTTTGGTCACATTAGTGGTCAACTTTTTCATCCGATGTAATTCAGTTGCATTGATTGATGGCTCTTTGCTTCCTTCAATTGGTCTATTCATTCGGGGCATGCGGCCGTTCTTTCTCCTGACTTTTTTCTTTTCACTTTTTGGTTTTCATTGCGACACGAAGCTATTCGGCTGCATTTGTTGCCTTTCGATGCTGGGATCGCTGTTGACCAGACCGTCTAGCATGCTTATATATTCTTTACGATCTCCACCAGACTATTAATGTACCCGTCTCATATTCAGCGCGCTGTTTGTCTAGGTATAACGAAATCCGCAATATTTGCCTCCACTTCTATTATATTTTGTATATCATCCTTGATCATCATCGTTTCTCTTTCATTCAGAAAATTTACTTCCTTCGGATGATTGCAGTGGGAAACTCTCGTTGAGTGACACCGATCGGGAGTTCGCAGAATCTGTACCAGTTCTCCGGGCCGCACTGATGTCAGCTTGCGAAACGCAGCCAAGCACTGTGGTCTCGCGATCCTTTCTTCCACACATTCCTCACATAGTAAGCCACTAGCAACTAACTACACATCTTTTGTTGCTCCCAGTGAGCGCTTTGGCGTTCTCTTTGTCTTAGAGCTGGCTGCTAGGTTACACAATTCTCGTTTTATCTCTGGACAGCATTTTATGCCCTTGTTTTTCGTTGTTTCATACTATTCTTATCTCGCGCACCTGGTCTTTCGGAGTTAATTTCACTTTTTCCTTAGAACGGATATCATCCCTACTCGACAACATTCAAGCCCGAGGCCTTTCATTCTGTATCCTCTGATTTTTTGCCGACTGGAACTGTTACGGTTGCTCTTCAGTCTCCCCAATCATTGACGATGTTAGCCAGACCCTCGGCTCCCTCCTACCTTGGCACGAAACAGGCCGCCTTTGTTGATTCACCTGCAGTCGTTAAGCCTCCACCGAATAATTTGATATCTGTCACTAAGCCTTCTGTGTTGACTACTGGCACCAGACCACACCATTCAGACAGACGAAGCCTCAAACGTGCCGCTCCAACAGATTCGTGTTCCTTCCGCTCCTCACCCCATCAACCTTCTTCACCACCCGATTCAGTCCAATCCCACTCTCTGTCGCACTCGACTTGTTACCGCCGTCAGCGCTTATCGGGCCCCTCCCTTCCTACCATCGTCGCACCGACAGTTTTGTCGGGTTTTCTGTCCGGTGATCTTCCCGTATCTTCTAACGCTCCTTCCTCAACTTGCACAGGCTCTTCCTCATGTGTCTCCACCGCCGTCGCGCTCTCCTCCACGTCGGTCTCCTCCCAACTCCCTAACGCGTTTACTGTATCTAGCACGGAACTTCACTCGGTTGACCTATGCAGCACACAGCAACCGTTTCCCACCCATTCAATACTTCGAGGTTTTCAGCCAAATATGTACATCCCTGGCACACTGCCTTCGTACCACAACTCCTCTGCAGTTGTACATCAGCCTTACCCCCTTCATCAACCATCCGCACCCCCACATCCACATCCGGGCCAAGGTGGACCTGGTCCCATCTCTGGTCCGTATCTCACACAGCTAGCTGCCCATGGAACGAATGGTCAGACGGCATTCACTCTTTCCAGTGGCTCAAATAGTGGCAAAACTACTCCAAGGCAACCGGCGAAAAAGCGATTGGAAGCTCGCACCCCAACCATTGATGGGGCGGGTGATGACTCGGGTGCACTGGCCACAGGCAGTCACAGTAACACGCCAAGCCTGGACGATTCAACTTCGATGGTATCCACTATCTGTTCCGGACCAAGCTCGATGGCTTTCCGAGTGCATCAGAACACTCCATTTGGTACGTCAGTGTGTGTGTGTGTGTGCACCTGGTCGGTGCAGTTTGATCCGCTTGCTATTTTTGTAGCGAAGTCTCACAGTATCTACATATCACCAGCGGTCTTGTTTCTTGCCTGTTGATTTAGAAAACCATGTGTCCTATTCAAAGGAGACCACATCACACTGGTAGCTAACGTTGACAATCAACGTAGCGCTGCATGGAGGTTGGCTTCCTTTTGCACTGTCATTTTAGTACTACATATTTGCTGTGATAGTATGTCGTCATTTCTGATGTCCACTGTCAACTCTTCCCCTGACCAGTCTATTCTCCGGATCGAAGCAGTTGGGTGTTACTGCTAGACAGCTCTCCGTAAATGATCTAGGTGTACTCTCACGCTGTGATTTGAAGTTCGTCGACAACACGAACAGACTGTACGGAAACGGATTACGCCTGGTTTGGGCACTTAGATGCAGCTTCTACATTTGGCCTGGAGAGATTACCACTCTCCTGTTCTCTTCCATAAAAACCCCGGTGCTTGAGTATGGCTCACCCGTCTACTGTCCGATCACAATAGGTGAGGTGCATGGACTGGAACGGGTTCAGCATTTATCTACCCTGCTCATCCAAATTTTACGGGGTATTTCTTACGAGGACAGATGTGGGAGACTAGGACTGCATACCCTGTCATATCGTTGGCTTCGAGTTGATCTCATAATGACGCACTACATATTGCACCTGGGCCACTTCCCTATGTTGAGATACCTGCTGCCCGTTCGCGCACCATGCAACACACAAGGGCACCGGTACAAAATAGTAGTACCGGATTTAAAGCGCATCGCTCACCCTCCATGATTCGAGCGTCAAGTGGTGAAATATGGGCACAATTCGCCGGAGACGCCAGTCGAGACGAAATCGATATCGGAATTTAAGAGATTCCTAGATGCCCACTTTTTCGGACTACAGGTATAGGGAATGCATCGCACCCGGATAAGATGTAATGCGGCTGTAATATGTTGCCACCGCGCAAGAATCAGCGACGTGATTCCGTGCAGGTACTCGATCTAACTACGACGGTGGCACACAGATTTATCTCTTCTTGCTCTCTAATGTCAGTATTCTAGTGCTAATGCAGTGTCTTTCACGCAGCGGTTCTATATTGTACGTTGCGTCGGTGCCTTCTTCCTTCTTGTCGCTGAAGCAATCATTGGTTTAAGAGTATATGCCCTCTGTATAATCATTGTTCTCTGAGGCCAGTGGTCCCGTTATTGACTGCTTGGATCTATTACACTTGGGCTGGTAAGATACAACTCAATCTTATCTACTCAACCCGGACCAGATTCTGAGTCACAGAGTGCAAATTGTTTCCCAGGATGGGGTCACTGATTTGGCCACATCGATGCTTTGAACCATACCCTAATGGGCGACGCGTGCAATACAGCCAGCGAATCTGTTCGGATCGCCGTTACTTCGAGCTGCACCCCTTTCAATCAGTCACTACGTAGGTTTCAACCTTCTTAGTTCGGCTTTTCATCTTCTCGATTTCTTCCTTGCTAGCTTTCTGCTTTCATCACGCTTCCTGTTAGGCTCTTCGCACTTCACCGTACTTTGGTTCTCAAAATCATGCAAAACAATTACTTTCTAACACGACATTTCACTTCGCTGCGGTCACTAAAATCGGACATATTCGAAAAATTTTTAGCCGGAATATATACACAACCCTACATTCCGCTCCATAGGTTAACAAGGGAGTTTGTAGTCATATTCGTTGGCATTTTAATCACAGCTGCAGAAAGCGTTGGCTAAATCTTTCAGTAACTGCACATTCCTTAACCATTAATGGCACTAAGCACATTTGAAGTCATAGGGACTGGAATCACTATACCGTATACTGGAAGGGGAGGAAGTTTAGTACCGTACGCCGATGCACGAAGCAGCCTAGGTACACAAACTGATGCCACTTTCTCTCTCTCATTGTACAAAGCAGTTGTAAAGACCACACGTATTCGACCCACTTCATCGATCAGGACCCCGTAACAGGATAATGAGGAGACATCGATGGTTGAACTGGCCAAACCGCACACACCTGCTTTCCTCTCGAGCATCCGTTATATCATTTTGCATTACCCACCATTTGGTAGTGACGTCTTGGCACTGAGTTACTTGTGCCTTGTTTCAGCTTTTCTATTCTTAATCGAATCACATGAGTTAAGGGTACCCTCACACTCCGGGAATGTTGTTAACTTCGATGACTACACAGCAACACTCGAGATAATATGCGCCTTCTCCGAAGAACCATTATAGAGCGAATGTTTTCTTTGCATGATGTTACCTTCCTCTCCGTGGTATTGTCTATCGCCATCACCATCACTCAGTTGTTTTCGATTGCTGTTGCGCACTTGCACATAGTTATCACTATGTCTGCCTGATCGAAGCAGCACCTCACTATGCCTCGAGGTTGGTGAACACCGGATTCAGTAGTGTTTGCGCGTTGCTCACCACATATTCACATCTCTGGCTCGTGCACCCAAGCCGCACGCTACTGTCAACATGTTGATTTTTCATTCTCATGATGAACACCGTTTTGTTGCGGTAACCTAGGTTGACCTACACTCGGTCAATCTTGTTACGGATTGATAACACACGCTTCACCAAGGTCACACTTGCTGGTGCACCATCAGCACCGGTCATCCACTCTCTATTTTGTGAATTTACACAACAAACGCACTTGTTCCAACATCACTCTGTCTTTGTTGCGAATCGAATTGCGCACAGACCCGAGTATAGAAACGACAAACACCACGTTGTTTTTTTCGTTAACTTGCATTTTTCGTCTATTTGGCCCTTTTTTGTATCTGACATGCTTGAATATTTCGGTTCTGCTAATCCTTGTTTATCTTATGTTGGTGCATGCTCACTCGACTACATTCAGTCAGCCCCCAATTTCATGCTTCGCCGGTACCTCGCATATGCACATCTCATTGGTTCCTAGATGTGCAACGCCTTCTGTTTAAAATCGAACTTTCTCCACTTCGGGATTCATAGTTTGACTCTCACATTTCTACGAGCCAAGTATGCAATCTTTTCTTTTTGTGCTCTAGTCCCCGTTCAGAGTCGATCAGGTCGACCAAGTTCTTCCGGTTCGTCGTCTAGCGCCAGTGGCTTCCAGCTCGCTCCTGCGGCGTCTACGGCAGGTGTATCTCCTTCTGTTGGGGGATTGCTTCGAAAGACAAGCCATTTTGGTGCATCTGATGGGGAAGCAGCCTTGCCTGCTGCCACACGCGCGTCCATTGCGAGTACTGCACAATCTGACGATGAAGAGGAAGAGTTGGTTGGGATCATGGTGGGCCGTTCGGTCGATTCAGTCCTGCACTCTTCGTCAGACACCGCTACATCCACAGGTGACCGTAAGAGATGTGCTACCTTACAATCTGGAAACCAACCTTTGGGAACCATCGGCACTTTCTCGATAGCGAAAAATCCCACTTCCTTGATGTCATCGACCTCGTTTCCAGAGGTCGGTCGCAGCCCCATGTGTGAGCGACATGTGATCGAAATGATTGGTGCCTTGTTAGCTAACTCAGCAGCGTCTCCTTCATTTAGACGGTAAGTTTCCACCATACAGTTGAATTTCCATTACAGTCTATGATTTCATAATGTCTAGTGTGATGGTCATTTCATTATCCTCGAATCTCTTTCTCATGAGTGCTAAATTCTAATTGGGACCTCCAGCGTCGGATTTCGTTCTCATTTAGTTCTTAGGCAGATGACTCCCGAAGGACACCATGGGGTGGAAACCAACACCGAATTCTCCGGTGCTTAACTTCGCGCCCTCGTACTGCACTTTTTTATGACACACAAGGGTTTCGTCCCTACGCCATACTTTACTTGATCTTACGGGCCACCGAAATTTCCCTTCGAGTAGTAGATAAATGGAATATTTCTCAACGCTGCGACAAACCAGTCCCTAGAAGGGACAGATCAAAGGATATTACAATCATTTCAAGCCGTCCCGTAATGAAGTTGAAGAAATATGCGTGCAAATTTCAAATGTGTGTGATACTAAGTGATCCGGATTCTATGCTGGTCTTTCAGCCTATCGATGCATCAGTGTTCTTCACAAATCTGAAGTTACATCGATCTTGATTTGCATAGTTACGCTTTTTTCCTCTGTTTTATTTCTCCTAATGATACATACCTTTTGTGGTTGTACTTGGACGTCTCCATGTCTGGATCGCAGTCGGTTCGCCAGCAAACACCTAAGGCAGACATTCGGTGCACGCATTTTCCAACTCGCCTTCTCTCCGGTTGTGTTCTCTCTCTCCCGACCCCACTTACAGCTGTTGCTTTTGGTAACACTTTATTGCCTAGACACTGCGAACTAACCTACTCGCTCTATTTAGTACGGTTCCTTCCACACATCGCAAGATTTATTTTTCTGTACAATGGTGTCGTTTTTACTTTGCATTCACGCTGTGCTCTAACTTCATTGGACTCCACCCATTACTGTATTCCATTGCCACAGCTCAAGCCAATCCAACTCACGCCGCAGCGCCTCGGCCAGCAGTCTGCCATATGTGGGCACGAGCCCGAACGAGAATCTGCCCCACTTGACGAATTCCGTCGGACTGGCTCACCCATTTGCGTCCATTACTAACACACGCTCCTCGCCGTCGTACATATGTTCACCTGCGCAATCCGTATCCGGCAAATTCCCCCTTTCGGTTCACCCGGAAGCCAACGCTGTTTCAAACGAATGTGATGACCGTTCCTCTCTATTCGGATCCAGTGTAAAATCCCGTGCTCTCCACCAGCACAACTTGCATTCGTCCACTCCCCCTCCTCGGCTCACCCCCATGTCTGATTTGGATGGTATGCGCCTACCTGACGACTCGCATTCCGCTTCTCGGCTACCTGCTTTGCAGCCTTTGCAACTGAACGGAGAATCAAATCCCAGTCAGGAGATAGTCAATTTTATTCGGAATTCGCCTGCCTCCGGAGTAAGTCCATCGGTTCAAAGTTCAAATTAACACTTCCCAGAGAAGACAATCCTATCCTGTTTCTGACCAGTTTATGCCAAGAACAAGAAGCTTTTTCATCATCCTTACTTTGGGCAACTTTTTGTTTGCTTTTGCCATTTTGTTGGTAGACATTGGTGTTAGCAGCACAGACCTTCATTGGAAGGTGGCTGGATCATGGCGTATTATCGTGGTTAGTACACACATCAACCCGTTACGCGTCAGTGCATTGAACGCACAGTGGGTCTTGTCATCTGTATTATAATACCGCTACACGCAACAAGCTATCGCCTGTACATGGTGATCACTCTGCTATCACGGCATGCTAGTTCAGTGCTTTTGATCAGTTTGCATCCATCGAAATGGTTTTGCTCAGGAACACACGTCAATCGCCTTGGCCACTTTTTGGATGGATTCAATCGGTTGCCAACTCTAATTTCTGTGAATTCACCAGTACATCAATTTGTGCCACTCATTAGTGAAACGGTAGCCGTCGATTATCTTCAACACCCACTCAGATACACGTTCCTGCATCGATCTGGTGGATTTTCATCTAGTTTCTATTGCGCCCTTAATCATGAACACCGTTACCACCTGATGAACTGACCAGCCATCGATTTAACCACGAGATCCCGTGTGGAGGTCGCGAACTCCTATCCACCTACATTTGTTTCGCTTCTCTCCCACCTGAACTCTGCGATCTGATGTTGCTTTAGGTGATAGGTTCCTTTTCACCTGACTCTTCCGCTTTGGGCTTTCAATATTTGTGACATTCCAGTGCGACTTGATACTGTTTCCAACTCTTTATTCTGTTTCTCGCATTTGTCGGTACTCATCCTCACTTTTATACCTCAACCCTGGTATCACAGTAGACATAATAGCAATATTCAGTAGCAACGCTACACCAGAACTATGTACTGCTTCTTTGCTACCATGCGACCACAAAAAGGGCATTAGCGGCACGCCGGTACGCAATCCCGACGCCTCGCTGCTGCCCAGCCAACAACAGTCGCACGTGGGCTAAGGTTGCTGGGAGGTCTCCCGGTCCATATGCAAGCTCGAATCAACACCCTCGGATTACAAGCCATGCTTGTGTTCCTTAAGGCCACGGGAAGGCAGGTTGGGTTAGACAATGATGACAAGAATAATAATATTAAAGTGTATAACTACTGGAGCTTCTTGATCTCAAAGCCGCACCCCAGGACCGGTCTTATCTATGTTTTGCCCTTCAGCTAAGAGATATGCGGAATCTGAACTATGAAAACTAATGATGAATCATCAACAACAGCTGAAGACAATAAATAATATTAGCAACGACGAACTTGGGAACTGGGATAACAACATGTGTCGGAGGGAACAAAAGAGGGACTATGTGTTCAGATTGATAACTTTACGGTTAGTCTGGAATGACTGGTTCAGACGAAGGGTAGGCTGAACCATTTTTGACACAAAATTACGGCGCAGCTATATTGCCCATATCTGAGGTATCAAAAGGTAGCATATTGATCCCGTGGTAAATAATGTGATGACACTGCTGAGCGTTAGTTGCCACTGGGTTGCGTTATTGCCCAAGCCCACGTCAAATGTAATTCCAATGCTTCGAAAGAAGGCAGTTCTCATTTCAGAAAACTTGGTAAACGACCGGTTAATGTATTTGTGATGAAGGCAGTTCTCAGTGTAAAAACGCAGAGGCGCACTAGTAGTGGGTTTAAATACATCAAGAAGTTAATTCAGTGGAATGTTCTGGTTGAATTCCGAGTAAGCGCACAATAACAAACGCTTACTGCAGTCGCGCGCTAGACATCGTCTGTTCTAGGACCAAATTGTCATTCTGGTAAGGTGGACCTCGTTAGTTTTTTTGGCGTCCTTCACTGGACGGTTAACGAGGAGATATTTTGCCAAAAATGGTTAAGCTTACCCTTCGTCTGAGCCAGTCATTCCAGGCTAACCGCTAATTTATCATTCTGAACACAGTTCCTCTTTTGTTCCCTCCGACACATCTTGTTATCCTTAGATGCCAAGTTCGTCGTTGCTAATATTATTTATTGTCTTCAGCTGTTGTTGATGATTCATCATTAGTTTTCATAGTTCAGATTCCGCATATCTCTTAGCTGAAGGGCAAAACATAGATAAGACCGGTCCTGGGGTGCGGCTTTGAGATCAAGAAGCTCCAGTAGTTATACACTTTAATATTATTATTCTTGTCATCATTGTCTAACCCAACCTGCCTTCCCGTGGTCTTAAGGAACACAAGCATGGCTTGTAATCCGAGGGTGTTGATTCGAGCCTGCATTTGGACCGGGAGACCCCCCAGCAACCTTAGCCCACGTGCGACTGTTGTTGGCTGGGCAGCAGCGAGGCGTCAGTATTGCGTACCGACGCGCTGCTGTTGTCTTCACTAGCCCCAATCAAAGTAACTTTGCTCATTGCACTACAGTACTCAGCCTGCATTGTATTAACCAGACTGCGCCGTGCACTTCACCTCCACTGTTATAATCGAACGCAGACGCAGCTTTTCTTCACTATGCATTAGGATGTCGATTAGAAAGTGTTGTCGCAAGAACAACGTCCACATATACCCCCCGTCGTTGACAGCCTGCTCTGCCTTGGTCTCACGCGTCACCATGGGACCGACTTGCGCTGCTTTGGCGATCGCAACCCGTTGTGTGTGTGTGCTACGCATGCTTCTCTCCACCGACCGAATCGACATCGAGTCAGTGAAAGGCCCTTGCGTATTACGATTCGCTGTTGCTGTCAATATGTGGATCTGATGCTTGGTACTACGTGACGTGACATATTCCGGCTTCTTCTGAAGGCAGCGCTTTCATATGCCGCGAGCATCACTATCTCCCTACTGTTTGACACTAACTCTCGATCAATTTGATTCTCTGTTTTCCGAACGACTGCGTACCAAACCCACTTTACCGAACCCTGGTTCTCTCGGACATATGCGAGCGTCTCCACTTGGGAATCATTTGATCGGATTCCTTTGATTTATTGCCTCTCTCCTACACTTTCGGCGACACAAACCCTGGCGCGTCGGGTAGTGTATCGCAACCCGATACTTTGAACGAGTTGCACAGTCACAGTGAACCTTCTAGTGTGCATGTTGTAGCATGTATGGCCTTATCAATGTGCTTTCAGTCTTTTGTATTGTTTTTTAAACGAGTAGTTTGCTTTTATTGAGCGATATTAACCATTTTGTACCGGACACTTGTAATCACTCGATGCCACCTTTCTCCCATCTTCTGTCATGGTTGACCGATCTTGTTCCTCGAGCCTTTTGGCCACCATACCGATGCTGCCCGTTTCCATTTCGTTTGCCGCCATCTTTCACACCAGTGCTACTACACGATCTCAGAACTGGCTGATATACACCTCACCTTGTTTTATCTATCGACTGGTCTCAACACCACCAGTCCTATGCGGATGTTTGGCACATGTCGATGCTTGTCAATAAATCGGTGAACGTTCACACTGTCTTTCCGGTAAATGATGATGTGTATTTACAGATCATTTGAACGTACTCATATATTTACGTATAACTAGGGAGTAGGAGGAGAATATTTCTGAAAAGGTTTGTCACAGCCATTCAGGTGTTCCATTGTTTCTTCTTCCGACACTGCCACCCTACGATTGGCTTCGTCTTCCTGTGGACTTATCAGGGCGTAGAACTCGGGCCCAAGAGTAACTTCTGACATCTTGATCACCAAGCTGCTAAAATCCGTGAGAAACGTTTGGCACATCTGTTTGGAATCCAGAGTTGGGTATGTAGTTCCCGCTGTGTGTTTGGGTCGCGACACACAGTCGTCACTGCCGGTTTTAGTCAGCACACATCTGGTGAAGCATTGGACGATCGTTTCCTTCGGTATGTCTTAGTACAGGTTTGCCCTACTCCCGAACTCAATGGAATAAAACGACCCTCTAGCGTTTTGCTGGATACATGAGATCTGCCTGACTGCGACGAACTTCGTCAAAACCTGCGCACTTCTTTCCCGAATAGGCAGGTAGCTCGATCACAGCAGTATCGAAGACAGCTTTCATGTCAAGGAAAGTCACTATAGTGGGTCGTCTGTATGGTTTTTTCAACATGTTTGCTGCTCCCTCACTCGATTTTTCCTTTAAGCGTAACCGCTTACGTTGGCTAGGTCATGTCCTGTTCATGCCTGTCGACTAGTTTCCTCGAACTGTATTATACGCCGTCGCTGCACCATGTTGGGCGAAACCACGAGCTGACTTGTCATTGACTTAGTATAATGACTTGAAGAAATTGACTGAGACTTGGTCCCACTGATACTTGCCCTCTTCACGGACGGGGGTCTCGGGATGGTCCACACCAGTGGTTAAGGGCCCTACCAGACAGTGCAGCCGCCCAGTCAGTGATGTTTTTGCACTCGTTTCTTTGCAACTTACTGTTACTTTTCCATCCCGATTGGTTTGTGCACTTCTTTCCAGATTCCACTTTCTTCGTATTCTATTTCCGTTCAACCTCATTTCCTTATCCTTGTTGTTTACTGTTATTCTGACGACGTTAGTCGGGGTGATTGGATCTATCGCACTTTAGTGGCCGGCTCATAGCTGTTTTACTGAATTGATCTGATAATATTAACATGGTACTACTCACTGCTTCCTTTCTGTGCGCGCTTTCTTCGACAACGGTGAAACTGCGCGATCCATGTTTCCCTTAATGAAACCACGTTGGCTTGTTTCGTTTCGCCCCACTTGGAGTTGAATCCACTGAAAGGCAGTGTCACTGGTTGTTGTTGTTGTTGTTGTTGTTGTTGTTGTTGTTGTTGTTGTTGTTGTTGTTGTTGTTGTTGTTGTTGTTGTTGTTGTTGTTTACCTTGCAATCGCGTATATCGTAGTAGAAATGCATCTGTTAATACGCCTGCACTGTTTACACCGCCTTCTTTTTGCTATTTGGGATGTGCCTATGTAGGTGCCCGATCAATTTTTATTACAATCCCAGTGGAACAGTTTCC